ACAGAGCCCTCGGGGACAGACAGACACGTGTCACCACAGAGCCCTCAGGGGCAGACAGACACGTGTCACTGCAGAGCCCTCAGGGACAGACAGACACGTGTCACCACAGAGCTCCTGGGGACAGACTGGCACGTGTCCCATCAGCCAGGAACCGCTCAAGGAACACTCTTGTCTCTTCCAGCCTCCTCTTCCGCACGGCTGCTCCGCTCCTCTGGCGTCCTGCCCGCCTCCCAGCTGGCCTGGCAGAAGGTGTCCCACGGCTGCCTCGAGGGCTACAGGTCCGTGGCACTGGCGTGGGTGGGTGGCAGATGGCGGGTGTGAGGGGTGAGGCCATCCTGCAACATGATGGGGGCTCAGGAGGGAGCCGGGAGCTGTTCCCAGGCCTGCCTGGGAGCACTTCCAGCTCGGCCGAGAGTTCTCCTCTGTCCACCCTGCGGTGGCAGCTCCGGTGCCCCGTGGTGGTGCCGGTGGTGCCCTGGTCTGGCACTGCCCTCACCAGTCCTCACTCCCGTGCAGGTGGCTGGAGCACAGCCTGGCCCACCACGGCTCTGCAGCCGTGTCCGTCCTGCGGCCGCAGCTGGAGCTGCTCTGGGACACGGGTGGTGAGGTGGCCCGGGATGTGTCCCAGCAGTGCTACTCCCTGCTCTCATGGCTCCAGGGCAGCCTGCCCTGGCTCAGCGAGTGGGTAAGGGGGGGTTCCTGGGGCTGGAGGAGACCAGGAATGCAGTGGGGGGCTTATGGGAGGGGGAGTGCTGGGGATCTGGGGAGGGGGAGGCCCTGCTCCACATCTCCAGTGCCATTCGTCCCCCTATGGTGCCCCCCTGCTCTGACTGCTTCCAGTGGCTGTCAGGGCTGACAGGGAGAGGGCTGAGAGAACTTGCTGCTGTTGGTGTCCTGAAAACCAGTGTTTTGGTGGCAGTGGGGTGATGTCAGTGTTGCACAGAGTGTGGGTGCCCTGTTTGCTGTGTGCTGGAGAAGGGGGGAGGTGGGGAAGGGCTCAGGGGTGAGGTGGAGCTATCAGGTTACTGGGACCCCAGCCCCGGACCTGCTGGGGGGTTTGATGCTCACCCCACACCTGTCTCTGCTCCTGCAGGTCCAGACCCGGCTCCCCGAGTCCCTGCTGCACTTCGGCGAGTGCGTGCGGGAGCTGCTGCTGTTCCTGGTGTGGAGCTGCCTGGTGCCGCTGCTGCAGGGCCTGGCCTCGGCGCTGCAGCAGGGCTGGCAGCGCTGCCTCGACTCCTGCAAGTGAGCAGAACCCCCGTGGGGGCCCCCAGGGTCCCTTGGGCTCCTCTCCCCCAGGGGCTCCTCAGTGTAGCAGCCACCTCTGTCCCTGTTGGGGGGTGGCTCCTCGTCCTGCTCCTGGGCACGGGGCACCAGGGCCAGCATCACCCTGCCCCAGGGGCTCCTGTATCCCCCCTGTGTCGCCCCTCCTGCCTCTGGTTCCCTCCCCCATAACCCCTTCTTGCTTTTCCAGTGGGGACGTGACATGGGAGTGCGTAAGGGACCACCTGACGAGTTTCACCTATTCTTCTTGGATTTACCTGCAAAACACAACCCTGGCCCTCAAAAACTGGGCCCTGGCCATGATTTCTGGACACTGAGCTGCTTTCTGGAGAAGGTCACGCTGTCTCCCGACATTCCAACTGCCAGAGGGTATCCCAGTGCAGCTGGATGGGGGATGGAGACGTTGAGGGCGATGCCTACAGGAACTTTGGGTCAAATCGGGGCTTTTGGGGGAGGTTTATTTTCTGGGGGACTGGGGAGACACACATACAGGTTTTTTCTGCACCCTGTGACTGCTTTGGCTTTCCCTGTCCCTCTGTCCCTGGTGGGTGATCCCCGTCCCCTCGTGCTTTGCCTGCTCACAGGATCAGGGGCGGACACCCGGAGCCCCCACCCACCCTC